AGAAGGGGGGGGGGGGGGGGGGGGGGTTGTGCTCGGATGTTTGGACAGAGATATGTCCCAACCCTTAGATAAACACTACGGCTTTGCTAACCTACGCAAAACATAAGGATATCTCCTTTGTTTCTTTAGAAACATGAGGATAATCAATTTCATAAGATAAATATAGTAGTATATGATACTTTTAACATTTTCCATGTCAACAATCAGACAAAGGGAACAAGGAAATAAACAGAGAAATGTGAATACAGAGATGTTAAAGGAGGATTTTCATCAGACAAAGATTCTAGTGAAGAACTAACATGCATAGCAGTGTTTTAGGGCTAACAACTGACAAGGTTTATATGGCTTGAAGGAAAAAGCGAGAAGTGAAGCAAACATTTCATGGAAAACTTAAAAAAAAGACCAAAAGTACCTGAATTTAGTACTATAATAATCAAATTGCAACTGACAACTAATTTCAGAATCCAGGATACAATAGTGCCAACATTTCCAACTCCTAAAGTTGAGCTTCAAAGAACATCCCCTTTCTTTTGGATCATTTTACGGGTCATTGTTTGAAAGCACACTTCTTTGAAGCGCATGGTTTCACCCATGAAGCGGTTACCCCTTACTTCACTCTAAGAAATGAAGCGGTGACTTTTAATAACACTGATGAGTGATGCCTAGAGACGTATAGAACATTCAAAGATTTCCTCCATTTATAGGAAGTCATCAACAACCAAGGTAGGAATACTTCATCAAAAATCAACCAAGGTAGGTTTAAGAATCCAGAACACAGCCAACATGGCAAAACTAAGGTTTCCCCTACAAATTGCTTCAGATCATGCCAACTACTAGCCTTCCATGCTGTAACCCGGGACCAACAGCGACACTTTGGTATCTCTGGAAAGGATTCCCTCCCAAATCTACTATTTGCAGGGAGCTAATTAATAGATAAGGAACATCTTGGCCGACAAACTGATACACACTCCATATAATTGATGCTACATCTGTCCATGCACTTAAGTTCCATAGAAAGCAAGGGAGGGTGGGGATCATCTACTGCAAGGGACACTTGAGATCACATGTCTTGGAGGCTTAGCACAGAGGCTTGTCTAGATGCCTTTTTCCTTGCTTTAATATCAGTTTAACTGAAAGAGTAGCAGTTTCTAAGTTGGCATAGTTTACCAAAAACATGCTTCAAAAGTCTTCTCAGGTCCACTTATTCCTTAAGCTACCACTGCCTTCAATAGGCAAATTTATAAATTTTCTAACTTCCTCTATGCACATTTAATATAGCTACTATCATAAAACAATCCTCTCCATGAGGATAGGTGCTTTAACATGTTCCCTTCCAAGCAAATGTCAAAAAGTACTGATCTTTCCTTTTAGTTTATTCCTCTTAAAAGAGGCTAAAGACAGCAGCCACCTCTTTTTGCACTGTTCTGTCGCTGAACAACTTTGGGATAAAATGTAGATGCCAGAAACAATGACCACATTCTAAAAAAATCTTTGATGTATTTCCAGCAACAATGACCGCATTCTACATTATGAAATAGTGTTCTATAATTTTCTTGAATATATGTTCACGGTCTTCTGACATCTGGACTCTACATGTATGAAATTCTACCAAATGCTTCAGCACTGTAAACACTAGAGAAACTGCGCACTTGGATACATGACAAACTAATCATATTTTTTCATGTATAGTTCATTTCAATCTAGTTCATAATCAACCAAGCTGGTGCTAAAGAATACGTATTAAGTACTATGCTTTCTGCAATACCATATTTCAGGGCTGACAAATCTTGTAAACCATGTCACCCCAATTCATAAGCACGTAATCGAAGACTCAATAAAGATGGAAAACTTTTCTTCTGAACTGATACTGAAAAGATACTAGGACAAGCAAATTAGTAGTGTCTCACTAATAAGTATAACAAGTCACTAAACCAAATTCAGAACAAGAATTCCCAAAGAACAACAGTAATATCACTAATCACTATACAACATACAAAAAAAATAATCTGCTCAACCCCACTAAACTCCTAATATACAATTCACATTTTCCTGCTCCAAGCTAGACCCTTTGGTTAGTAAAAAGTGAAAAAATGTTATTTTTTATGCAAAAAAAAACAATAAAACAGACCTAAAAAGATATTTTAGAACCCAAAAAAGCTTGAAAATGAAGGAATCAAACCTCCGAAACCCCATCCTACACCGAATCCGCAACCAATGCCAGCACCTAAACACAATTTCAATTTTTTTGCATCAGTACATGAAAGCAAGTAAAAGAGAGAGGAAAAAAAATAAGCTTTTGTTCTTATTAAAAGAGAAGAAGTAAAGTACTGAAAATCTATGCATACCAAAACCGATACCGGTTCCAGTAAAGTTTGTCATCACCATTGCTTCCGGCGAACAAATTACCAATCAATTGAAGAAAGATTTACAAATTGGGAGTAAAGTTTCCTTATAAAAAGCCCATTTTTAAGGGACTACATTGAACTTACTACAAACATAAGTGACCAAAACTGTACGGTGTATATATTTAAGGGACTACATTGAACTTACTATAAACATAAAGTGACCATTTTTGCCATTTTCTCTTTGAAATTAGTGTAGCAGCAGTCAAGAAGATCAGCAGGCAACGATCGAGCCATGGCTTTCCTCTTCCACAAATTTCAAGAGGTTCTCTATTTCACCTTGCACCCTTTAAACTGTTCATTTGGTACGAGAGATAAAGGGATAATTAATTTCATGATAACTTGTTCACGAATAAAACTGTACATTTTGTTCTAATTTTTTCTTCATTAAGTATCTTGAAGTCATTTGTAATGTGAGTTTGCATTTGTTTGTTGAATTGACACTGTTAATTATGTAAAATTGATTTTTTGAATTGACACACGACTTGCAGGGAGTGAAAATTCTTGCTAAAAGCCCCACTTTTGCTAGAGAATCGAGGCTTCTTCAGTTCGAAGCTGACATAAATCTACTATTCCTTTACACAAGGTAAGAGGTGATGTACAAATTGAAATTAATTTTATGGCTAGCTGTTTTATATTGTCATTGTAATTATATTGTTTTATTCAACATTTTCTCAGTTTGCTTCAATTATAGTAAGAACAATTGAAGTATAATGTAGTGTGAAATTCGGTTTCTTCATTGCTGATAGATCTAGAAAGAACTTTTTGTGTCTTTATCAAAGGGGGAATGAAGAACTTGTTTGATATTTGTGAATTTCTGTTTGCTTTTTAAGTTAAAACAACAACAACAAATTTAGTGTTATCCCACATGTGGGGTCTGAGGAGGGTAGAGTGTACACACACCTTACCCCTACCTTTGAGAAGGTAGAGAGGTTTCCGAAAGAGCATCAGCTGAACAGACAGTCATAAAGAGGCAATAGCAATAAACAGAAAGAAAAGAACAATAAGATTATCACCATATCGAGGCGAAATAACAAGTAGTTATAGAAATCTAAAAATATGGGAAACAAACGAATAAAACTCTGGGAAAAGGGAATGACTTCTAACTAACCTTCTACCTTAATCCTCGATCTCCACACCCTCTTGTCAAGCGTCATGTTCTCAGTGGGCTGAAGTTGCAACATATCCTTCTGATTGCATTAAGTTATTTTTCATAACTAGGGATTTGCTTGGGGACCGTGGTAACAGTCCTTATTCCACATTTTTCTTTCAGTTTCTTCTTTAGAGGCGTACTGCTTCGGCGGGAACTGTGGTAGCATTGAGAGAGATAGTTTCTTTATTTTCTTGCCCTCGTTGATAAATAGTAGAACAACAACAACAAAACACCATACCCAGTATAATCCCACAAGTGGGGTCTGGGGAGGGTGGTGGGTATAGGGTCTATCAAGTAAAACATATCAAAATAGTATGAAACGAAAGTACAGAAATATGCTTTAGTGGGGAATTGAACCAACAGAGGGACTCATTTTGAAATTCCTTTACCCTGAACCGAGGCGCTCAGTTTGATAAATAGTAGAAGTAACTAATATTTTTATGCCTTAAAAATTGCGGCTTTGGTGGCGAAATTACGTGTTATCTTTTTGAATAGATGCACCACTGTAGTTTAATGTTGCCCTGATAAACTTTACTTTCAGTTACAACCGTTTAGGAAGGAATGCCGAAGAAGCTGATGCAGAGGAGATTATTGATATGGCTAACAAAGCCTCCTTAGACGATCAACAGAAGCAAGTTCATGAGAATGTGCATTCTCAGGTTACAAACTTTTGCAGCTATATGGATGAGATATTACTCCTGGATCAAAAGGTCAAAGACAATCAGGCCACATCACCAGCAACACCACATTCTCCTCCTCGTAGTAGTGGCCTTGGTCTTGCTGTTGGTGGGAATTCTCTAGCACAAGACCGCATTGGTAAGAATCAGCTGCATCTTAAGCTAAATTTTCCATGTACTTCTTAGTTGTTGTTGTATTTTTTTCTGAGAAGGACTTCTTAGTTGTTATATTGTGAAAACTTTGTTTTGAATTTTGACTTGCACCCTACTTCATTGTTGGTAACCATTTGATTTCCTGCTTCTGCTCTGCCATGACATTGCTTTACCTTGCGTCATGCTGTCCTTACAATTATTTGGCTGTATCTCTCCGGTATATATCTAGTATTATCGTTAAGACCACTACTTCATTTTTATATTAAGCACAGTAAGCCTTCAACCAGTGTTGAAAATGTTTTCGTTATACAGGTAGACAATGGAAGTAGTTATTCCTGCCTCTTGTAGCCGGTAATTACTGTATCCCTTGAAATTTCTGAAGTCTAGTATTACTGAATTTATGTAGAAATTGATGAAGTTCCTAGAATCTTTTGATTGGTAAGATGGATTTGCACTTCTTTACACAAAGACAAGGTGGGGATGGGGTGGGTGGTGGTGGTGATAGTGGGGGGGGGGTGTGTACCTCATCTTAAAGCACATCTGCACATGGATTAAGTAGATCAAATCCAACTCTAAGCTTAAGACACTAAAAATACGATTACTGAGTCTGGAGGTAAACTGCTAAAGGAACGGAGTGTAGTTATTCCAATTGGAATGTTACTTCAACTTCTTCATTGGGAGGGGTGAATTGTCACTATTATATTTCCTTCAGTTCATTCAGTATAAAACATGATATCTATAATGAAGTTGATGGGCAGTTCTAGTTGTGTAAATATTTAATCTGTTGCAGCATAGGCAATAACATAAAATCACAGATCATGAGGCTCTTTGGTGGTTGGTTTTGCATATTTTGTATTTCATCTGTTCTTTGCAGTGGCTTCATAGCTGCATCACCCTGGTTTTTAATTACTGATAAAAATTTCAGCACAGCTGTACCTGAAACCAAGACATTGCACCGCACAGAGGTTTCACAGAAGTTAAAGGATCTTATGGGCTACACTCTCGAGGTAAAACCATCTCAAATTCCCCATGAGGATGCCGGAAAGGGTTTATTCTTACAAGGTGAAGCCAATATTGGTTCTGTCATAGCATTCTATCCTGGAGTACTCTACCCTCCAGCATATTACCGCTACATTCTTGGGTACCCTAGAGTTGATCCCCAAAATTCACATCTGATCACACGGTATGATGGAACTATGATCAATGCACAACCATGGGGTGCTGGTGGTGAATCTCGTGAATTATGGGATTGGACCAGTTCTCCTGAACCTAAGCACACTATGCAAGCTGATGAGAAAGGTTCTGACCTAGATGGAACACACGTTGGAGGCAACCTTGAAATGTTGGAAAGGAGAAACCCTCTAGCCTTTGCTCATTTCGCCAACCACCCAGCCAAAGGCATGGTCCCGAATGTAATGATATACCCTTATGATTTTCCCCTCCTTGAGAAGGACATGAGACCCTATATACCTAATGTTCCATTTGGAAACGATGAAGAAACAGACACGAGTAAATTTGGCAGCTTTAGGTTGAAAACGTGGAAGTCCAACAACAATGAATCAAAAGTCCCCGTTCTGAAGACACTTGTTCTTGTGGCTACTAGAGCAATTTGTGATGAAGAGGTTCTACTGAACTACAGACTGAGCAATTCAGAGCACATACCATCGTGGTATACTCCAGTAGATGAAGAGGATTAAGGGCATTGGAGCTAAGATCATTATGATGATGGATGCATATATAAGGTGTTGAACAACCATTTAAGCAAACACGTTTATACGATCACCAGTCATTGCTCAAGGCCAGCACAGAATGCCGCATTGATTTTGGCCATGATATCTGGTTCTCTTTCATTTCTCAACAGTTATATGAATTACTTAACTAGAAAACGTTGTGCTGAGCTCTAGAAATAGTTGAACTTTGCTCAGACGACGAATGGTAATATTTTCATTGAGTAACTGAATAAGGCAGGAAAGGAATCCACCTTAACTGAAAGGCTGAACTCAAGACTTAAAATCAAAATCCTGTTTTTTTGTGCTTTGTTATTCAGTTACTGCACTTTTTGTGATTGATTATTCGATTAAGAGTCGGCAATTGTACTGCTTTTGCTTAAGAGTACAATGCATGATGTATGGGATAGGCACATCTCGAGTTTTGAACTTTGTTGCAAACAACATACTGATATTTAAGTAGAGAAGGATAGGACGAGGAGTCACTATCCACTTAGTTTTTAACTGTGCGCCATTGACCCTCGGGGATTCTCGGTAACTGGACTGGTTAGTCATGTTAGCATTTTTATTTTGTCATGTTACTATTTTTTAGGAGTTGTTTAGTCTTTCAGAGATTTATATATATAATGATTTTTTAGTATTTTATTTTGCATAAAATTTGCTTGAGATAAGTTTATATGAAGTAATATGATAGGTGAAAGATTCATACAGCCCACCTCAAATTGTTTAGAATTAAAATTAGTTTGGTTAAAAGTTGCCTAACTTAACGTCCAGATAATTGATAAACTCCATGGTGACAGAAAGAAAGTAAAAAAAGGGGGACACTACCATATTTTAACATATTCCATTTGAAAAAGCTAAGCTTCGAAATGTACATATACATAGGTATAGTACGGGTTTGAGTTGTGGAAATAGTCATTAATATTACATTAGGATAGATTGTCTATGTCATATCTCTTGAAATTAGGTCTTTCTGACGACTCTGCTAACATGAGATATTTTGTACACTGAACTGTATTTTTTATAAGTTATAGATATATAAGCTTCCAGAAGTCCTTATATATGTGTGAAAGTTCAAGAAATTAAGTATTAAAACAAGTTAGGTTTACAGTTGAAAGTGGAATTATTTAATTAGTCTTTTTTATATGTTTTCACCCGGAAAAAATGGAAAAGAAAAAAGAGACAATAGTGAGTTTGACAAATAAAACCTTGTAATTAATTCTTTATATGAATCTGCATGTAACAGTTTTTATCCACCAACATGTCTCAGTCCTCACAATGATCCAACTTTAAAAGATCTTTTACACTAATAAGTGGGATTGGGAACCAAAAGGAT